GACTACTCAGAGAAAATTCATCAATTATGTCAACTTTTATTCATTCATTTTTTTCAACAGCTATTTATTGAGCTGTGAACAAAACAAATATTCCTGCTTTCATGATGCCTATATTCTAATGGAGGAGATAAAGAAAAGAAATAAGTAACACATTTAATACATTAAACATTTATAAGTGCAAAATTTGAAAACAGTATCAGGGAAGAGGGATATTAAATATTGAGGGGTATGTGGCATCCAGGGAAATCCGTGAGTGATAAACTCGTCTTTCAGAATCTAACTCTGCCTTGTGTGGGTGTTAGTCACTTGGTTCTTCTGAGTTTGAGGCTGTGCTTACTCTTGGGCATCCCTGAAAATTGTTAGGGTTTTTAAAATAAAGAGGCAGATTCTGGAATGGGCTGACCTGAAGTCTTGCCCTAACCCAATTGGCCCACGTTAGATAACAGTACTGCCATGCCTACCATTTTAATTTTTCTCTCATTTATTAGCTAGTGCAGTATCTCTACAGCACAATTTCCTACTGTAATACTTGTTTACATTTTTTATCTCAGAGGCTACTGCTGAAAATAATTCATTGCAATCTTAATCCCAGGGTGCTAGTTTCACAGTGACTCTATTTCTATATTTCCTAGATTCTGGAAGATGCTAGGACCCCTAAGCCCCTCAGAAGGATGTACAATAAGTTCTTTAACACATCAAAGATGATACTCTGTAAATTGGCATCATGCTTTTCGGGCAGACATTCAAGTGGAAATACTAGCTTTCTCTTACTCTGGGACATATGTCCAACAGTCTGTGCTATGAGCTCCAGAATTACAATAAGAAATTTTTCAAGGAAATAGAGCCCTCAGTTCTCTGGCCTTCTGTTCACAGTTATCCACCACTTTTGGTTATGCTAAGCTAACTTGTATATTTAATTGCCTACACTTAGTGACGCTAGAGACCAGCGTACTTGAAAAGAAGTTTCTTTCCTCACAAGGACCAAAGTCACTAGTACCCGGAGGACAGGACAGGTAGGACATGAAAGAATAGTTATGGAAACCTGCCTCCCACCATAGGAATGCTCCAATTCTATCTCAGAGAATACTCAGGGAAACATGCACCCTATTTCTACCATGGAAGGGGTCAACAGGATTCAGTTGGTGATGTCCAGGCCAGATTGATATTCTTAACAACTTGCTTGCTCACACTAGAGACCAGGAATGTTGCACAAAAGCCCAGATGGACTGTTCGTTTGGTCCCAGAGTCTCCACCCCTTTGCTTTGTTCTATCCTCTCTATTTTCTCTACAACTGCCTGGCTCCTGAATCCATGTTCTCCGAGTGGAACAGTCAGTCGATTTCAGGGACCACCCTCCAGGAGAAACATGACCACGAGTGGAATTTTCCAGAGGAACCAGATATTAATGGGGTCTACAGGAGTCTGTTAAGGAGCCTCATACTTCTGGTTCAGATTTATCCTCTCTCCTTAAAGTGTAGGGTTGGGAGAGGAGATAGAAAGAAATTTATTTTATCAGAATTGGATTCAGATAGGATTAAAGAAACAGACATTTTAAATGTCTATAATAATTATTAAAATAAAATTCTCTTCAAAAGCTATCCTAATTGGGATGGTTTGATGGATTGGAGACGTTAAGAGAGTGGTGAGACTGTCTAAAGAAGTGAGAGGCACTCTGCTCCCGATGTTCTCAGTATGCCAAGGAAGGCTGACAATGAGTTTTAAGGATAGAAGAACAAGGGTCTAGGTCTTCTAAGTGCTTAGTTCCTTGTTATCACTATCACATAACCTGTATCTTTCCAGACACAGAAGAAATACACCAATAATGTCATCATAAAATCAGAGAAATGAGGTATTCTTGTAGGAACAGGCTTCTCTCTTTTTAAATCCTTTCAGTCTCTGTATTTGTTGTATGCATACACTACATTTTTTTATCCATTCACCTGTTGCTAGACACTTAGGTTGCTTCCACGTCTTGGCTATTGTGAATAATGCTGCAATGAACATTGGAGTGCAGATATCTCTTCAAGATCATGATGTCAATTCTTTTGGCTACATACCCAGAAGTGGATCATATGATAATCCTACTTTTAAATGTTTTGAGGAAACTCCATACTGTTTTCCATAGTGGGTGAGCCATTTTCCCCCTTTTTATCTTGAAAAAATGATCAGTTCACAGAAAGTTAGAAAGTACAGAACAGTTCTGTTTACCCTCACCCATTTTCCCCAGTGGTTATTTCCGCATCTATATAACTCTAGCCCGATGTTGAAATCAGGGAAATGACCTTGGTATAACATGTGGATGAGTGTATATATAGCTCTAAGTTATTTCATCACAGGGGCAGACTGAAACCTACATAACTATAACACAATAGCAAAGCCAGGACATTGACAGAGATATGATGTGTGTATGGTTCTATGTTATTTTATCACAGGGACAGATTTGTGTAACCCCTACCACAATCAACATACAGAACTATTCCATCACCACAAAGACCTCCTTTGTGCTATCCCTTCATAGTCACATTCACTCTCCCAACATACTATCCCTAACCTCTGAGAACCACTTATCTATTCTCCATCTCCATCATTTTGTTATTTCTAGAATGCTGTATAAATGGAATCATGTAGTATGTGACATTTCAAGATTTTTTTCATTCAGCATATGCTCTAGAGATCCATCCAAGCCATTGTGTGTACCAACAGTTCATTTCTTCTTGTTGCTGAGTAGTATTCTGTAGTATAGATGGACTACAAGTTTCTTTAGCCCTTCATCTATTGGAGGATTGTTGTCGTTTGCAGTTTGGGGCTATTCCAAATAAAGCTGCTATACCCTTTTGTGTGGATATGAGCTCCTGTTTCTCTGGAATAAATACTCAGACATGTCGTTGCTGGGTAGTATGATAAGTGTTGATTTAGTTTTTCAAGAAACTGCCAAACCAATTTCCAGAATGGCGGTAGCATTTTACATTCTCCATGATTGTTTTTTTTAAAAGGTGGGGAGACATAAAGCGTGTTTTTTCCTCAGGTTTATTGAGGTATACTTAACAAATAAAAATCATATATATTTAAGGCATATGACTTGATGTTTTGATATATGTAGACATTGTAAAATGATTATCACAATCAAGCTAATATATTCATAACCTCTCCTCATGACCTCTTTGAGTGTGGATGTATGTGGAGAGAATACTTAAGATTTAGTCTCAGCAAGTTTCAAGTGTACAGTACAGTATTGTTAGGTACAGTCATCATACTGTACATTAGATCCCCAGACTTATTCATCTTGCATCACTGAAACTTGGTACCCTTAGATAAATATCTCCCCATTTTCTCCATCCCCCAACACCTGGCAACCACTGTTCTTCTCTGTGCTTCTATGACATCAGAGGAAGTGACCAGAATTAGTGTTTTAAGGTCCTTCTATTTATGGAGAGAGGATAATGTATTCACTTTAGATTTTGTTAAGTTTGTCTTGTAGAATTTCAACTACCTCTAAAAGAATAGAAATCTAGTATTTAACTTTCAAGCCTAGAGGGAAAAAATGGAACCAGAAAACAAAAAAAACAAGGACTCAATTAACAAAGGCACAAAAGGTGTTAAGGAAACATAGAAAAAGGAAACAAATAGTAATAAAAAAGTGCGGTGTTAGAAATAAGTCCCTATATATTAGTAATTACAACAAATGTTAGCAGACAAAACCTGGCAATTAAAAGAAGTGATCAAATTGGATAAGAGAATTCATTCGAACTAGATGATATTTAAAAGAAAATCAAAGTTCGAGGACTTATAAAGCTTAAAAGTAAAGGATAGAACTAGATACTAGAAGCATCACAAACGAGGGATAGCTAGTATAATTTTGTTCTTTATCAGGGAAAATAGACATCAAATCAAAAAAAAAATGTTAGGTAAAGAGAGGGTTACTATATAATGATAAGCATTTCAAATAACCAGAAAGAGAATAATTTTACATTTGTATGCACTTAACAAATGCTCTCAAAGTATTTAACAAAAATTAGTACAGCTACGGGAAAAGTGTTACAAATTCACTATCACAGGTAAGATTTCAAACACTTGTATCAATCATGCATATGTTACATATCTTGTATTCGTTATATGTCTTAGTCCATTTGGGCTGATATAACAGAATACCATAGATTGGGGGGCTTATGAACAGCAGATATTGATTTCTAACAATTCTGGAGGCTGGAAGTCCAAGATCAAGGTGCTGGCAGATTTGGTGTCTGGTGAGAACCTTCTTTCTGGTTCACTTATGTTTGTCTTTTTGCTGTGCCCTCACATGATGGGAGGGATAAGGGAGCCTCCTGGGATCACTTTCATAAGGCCATTAATCCCATTCAGGAAGGCTCTGCCCTCATGGCCTAATCACTTCCTAACACCATCACACTGGGAATAGGCTTCAACATATGAATTTCAGGGAACATAAACATTCAGTCTATAGAGGTATGTATAATATTTTACACTAAAAAGTCTAATATATTTAATCCTTCTGACATTTTATTAATTTTAATAATAAATATTGTCATTTAATTTTTAATTTATAGAAATAATGCACACGCTCTTTGTAAATCATTCAGAATCTAAAAATTAGGTAGAACAAACATTATAATCCATTTTCATGCTCCCTCTTAGAATACAGAATAGTTTTTCTCCAAGTGGATAGTCAATAACTCTGCAAAATTCATTAGAAAAATAGTCCACTCTCCTCCCTCTGTGTTCATGTAGAGGCCACCTTTATCATAAACTAAATGTCAGGATCTACATGGTCTGTTTGTGGCTTCTCTGTTTTGCCTCTTTTTACTCCTGGCCCAGTGCCATATATTTCCAGCCCAGCAATGTTATAAATCCTACTGACAGTGAAAGTCATCATGCTGCTGTTTGTAAAAATAATCTTGTTTATTCTTGCACATTTTCGCTAAACAGTGAACTTTTAAATCAGCTAGTTAACATCATAAAAATCTTTACTTTTAAATCCTAATTTCTAAATTATCACTAGTCTATGGAAAGTTATCAGCCAACTTATCACTCTTTTTGAATGTATAATAATTTTCACTTGGTTCTAATAGCCAATCTTTATGTAAAGAGATTAGGAGAATATCCTGCAGTAGTAAAGAGCTCAGGATCTGGAGCCCGATTCCTGACTAATTCTGATTTCACCAGGTACAAACCTTATCACCTTGCTGAATATCTCTCATCCTGTTTTCTTCATGTGTGTGGTTAGGGATAATACGAGGGGCTGTGTAAACTAAGGCTAATTTGCGCCTGATTGTAGGAAGGGCACAATAACCACCTTCGATATGCTCTTCTTGTTTGCTTCTAATTAATTGTATAAATGTAAGACAAGCAATCAACCATAAGAGGGGAAAATGCTCGAGTCAGCCGCTTCTGCAGACATTTGTTATAAACAATGATTCTTTTAGAATGAGGAAGATCACTTTTTATAAGGAGCTCAAGATTTTCTGGGTGAGAAAAAATGGAAATCTCACCCCCAGCTCCCTGGGATTCTAAGTTAGGGTAGGCCGGCCAAACCCCAGCGACAGAGGAGAGAAACAACAGGTTAAGAAAAATCAAGGAGTAGGCTGCTCTGAAGCCTCTGCCTCAAGACAAGGCCTGATCTGGGAAGAGAACTAGTTTTTCTTCAGGCTTTGGCAAAGGAGGAAAGCCCCTCAGCTTTCACTTACCCTGGAACTACGCTGTGCTGGGCAGTACGACAGCCGAGAACACGAGGCTCCATCAGTCATGAGACATGGCCGTGGCCTGGACAAGGACCTGAATCAGCAGAGTTGTTGCTGGAACAGTAGACACATTTCATTGGTCTGACTCGGGGGGACCAGGCCTCAGTAAGAACACATGGCCTGGTGACACAACGCAGCTGAGTATAGAATAGATTCCAGATGTGTCTGGAGATCTGAAAGACAGCCTCTTCAGGGAGAATAGAGCCTTGGGAGGTGAGTCACAAAAGGTAAGTGATGGTGTCCATTCTACTAAGTTCCATTCTACTAAGTACTAGAGTGATTATCGGAAAAATAGAAGATTACATTGTGACTGTATTTGTACCCGGAGTTGAAATAGCAGATTATACTAGTTTTATGAGAATAAATGGAAAAAAGAGTCATACAAACTATTCATAAGTTTTCATAAAGCAAGTCCTTCATCAATTCTAGTCATTTGCATTGTGCATTGTTAATCATCATTCTTGTTGATTTCATGGGTGTTCATTGTCCAGTATATAATGCAGTTAGTACTCTGATTGCAACTGGACATTCTCTTTTGCATTTAATCACCCTGATCAGACACATAAAAGAGGAAGTCTTAAACTAATTTTTATTCAACCACATTATAGTGCCATTTGTTTTCTCCTTCCCAGTAGCTTCAAAAGAAGTGTCTGCTGAATTGGCACCATGAATTTATTTTACCTTCTCATCTTTGTTGTCCTCTTTCTCTCTCAAGTAATGCCAGGTAAGCCCCCTTTGGCATCTCCCTTCCATGTCTGAATCTCATTTCTTTTCTCCAACCTGTTCCACTTTCAGAAGGATAGCCTTGGTTACCCAGAATCAGTGTAGGGATACTAAAATGGGAACCATGAGAAAAGGGACATTTCTGAAGTGCTTCACTGGGTTTGCATCTTCAGGCTGTCTGCACGTGAGGCACTGAGAAGAAACACTGAAACCAGAGAGGGAAAAAATGGGACAAAAATATGGCAGGCTTCCCTGGCCAATCTAATGACACCCTTGCAAAGATCCTCTTCTTTCTTTTTTTTTTTTTCTTCAAACATTGGCACCTCAGCTAACAACTGTTGCCAATCTACTTTTTTTTTCCTGCTTTTTTCTCCCCAAATCCCCCCAGTACACAATTGTATATTTCAATTGTGGGTCCTTCTAGTCGTGGCATGTGGGACGCTGCCTCAACGTGGCCTAATGAGCGGTACCATGTCTGCACCCAGGATCTGAACCCTGGGCTGCCGAAGCGGAGCGTGCGAACTTAACCACTCGGCCACGGGACCGGTCCCCTCTTATTGCTTAAGAAAGATGTATGTGGCATGTGTGTGTGGGCTGATGCAGTTTCTAAAGTTTACCATTAGCCTAATTCTAGAGTCGTCGTTTTTAATGACTGGCTCTAAGAGCAAGGAAAGAAGCAGCTTAGAGGTTTTTTAGAAGAAGGAAATTCACATATTTAGAACCATGGCATTTTGGAGGAAACTTAGAGGTTTACTCTGCTCCCTAACTTGAGCAGGGGGTGGCAGGGATAGGGAGACAGAGGGAGGCAGGAGACTGACTTCCTCCCTGTTCATTCCCTGCATCATAGAAGTGCTGATTGTCACAGAACAGCTTGGAGGGCTTTATAGAGTACTACAGCTGCATGGATCTGGGGGGAGAAAAGTGCCTTGTGTGGGTGAGCACCATGTGATCTGACAGGACGCTGAGAGTTTGAACCTTGCTTCCTGCAGAAAGTCAGCAATCTCTTCTACTGCCATGTTGTGCTTTGTACTCACCCACCTTAGTCCTCCGTCTCCCCCTCACTTTTTTCCTCTTCCAATAGTCTATCTTAAAATAAATAAATTCATCTAATCAAATATGCCATTCCTATGCCTCACTGCTGAGGGGACCTGTGCCTTCCAGAGCATCAATTCACAAAATTGATAGATAATGAGCTGAGGGGACAAGAGCTGGATGCAGCAGTGTCCCCCAGCACTGTTCTCCTTCTTTCTGCTTTGGATTAATAAGAGTCTGTTTACTGTGACCCACTGGGCATGATGACTGATTCTATTGCATTACTCAGAATAGTGAGCCAAGTCTGTTTCTTCACTGGGCTAAATTTCACTCAAAGAGAAGAGAAGAGTAGGTTATGGTGGGCTGTGAGGGAATTATAAGGAGACAATATGCAGGACTCCTCCACAATGAGACTCTTGGTTACAATACTAGGGTAAAGAGATGTTAGTGCTTCCCAGGTATAGGTGGCCCAGATGTCAGAGTTCCTTGGTCATAGCTGCTATGAAGCACAGGATGGGCATGGGTGGCCTTTTCATGGTAGCTACAACCATTTTGCTTGAAGATGGGGATACAAGAGCTCATGATGAGCAAGTTTGTAAAGCTGTCTGCTAAAAGCCCAGTTCTAAGCATCTCCCTTGCAGCATGCCGGTAGAATGGGGCAGACAGAACAAAGTGGAAGCAGAGCTGAGGTCCATGAGTGGGGTGACATGGGGGAGTGTGAGCCTTCTCCATCCCTGGCACTGATTCCACAAGGAGTGGGCACTGAGGCCAATGAGAGCCAACCCTGGTGACCCCTACAGCCTGGGTTCCAAAGTTGATGACTTCTGCTAATGACTAACAGTAAACAGTTTGGACTAGAGGGACCACAGAGACCCTTCCTTCTTGGGGCTGAGTGTAGGCTTTCTCTCCTCCACCCTCAAAGAAGCAAAAGGAGCAGGTTTTTTCAGGCCTGGCTTAGAGTCAGGTGGATATTTTTTTCTCTTTTAGGAACTTCTCTCACCTCAGCTGATTTCCCTGATTATTCAGGGTCCTTTCCTTTAGGGACTTGAATTGTAGATTGTGAATCTTATTTTTAGGATGTATCTGATACACTCTGAAGGCAGGGGTTCTAAACCTGGAAATTGTGGGTGAACTTCAGAGGGTTGCTGGCATCCCTCTAATGGTTTTGGCGTATAGCGTGTGTATGTTTGCATAACTGAGTAAATATGTATGTAGACCCTCCTTCCCTAGGCTAGGGGCTGGGGTATCATATTGTTTTCAGTAGTACCCTGTTCCAGGAAGATGAAAATACAAAAGTTGAATCTGTTGCTTCCAAAGGACATCAGTTGACAGTTCCACAATAGCAGATATCTGATGTCACACTTGCCAGCTCTGTGATATGTCAACCCAAGAGGAGTATTTGAAGTCTCTTATCCCATCCTCCAAATTACTGCACAAAAATTTCTGTTCATAACAAGCTCTTGAAGACCAGCATTGTCCTCCTGTTTAACAAGCAAGTAGGAGGGACGAGGTGGGGAAGAGGAGGTGCGTAAGACAGAACACTTTCATGAGCAATACAGTGTGGGGATGCCTGGTTGGACCGAATCATTCCTTCCCTTGTATGAAGCTTGAGCCTCTCTTCCCAAAACAAATAGTTTTTGTCCTTTCTACAGGTTATGGATACGGTCCAATGCATCATTTCTGTGACTCACACATCAGTGTCTGCCTGAGGAGGAAAAGAAATTGCATTATTCGTATGCCAGGGATGTGCCCTGGGAGGAGTTTCTGTTGTGTAAGAACGAAGTGAACTGAAGAATCTATGTTTAATGTCTCTTCCCTGAATTAAATTGGAAGGATGAGACCTCCTGGTATCATTTTGTTTCTTTGAATCATTTATGTCTTCAATACCTATTGAGCACCTTCTCTGCACTACATCCTGTACTGGTGGCTGGGGATATGGATTCAAGTTTCTCCTGCTAAAGAAACTCACAGCCATGGAAATCTTATCCAAGTTGGGCAGATCAAGGATGTCTTCTCAGTGAGGGCCAGATATGAGCTGAGTTGTAAAAAAAAAAAAATAAGAATTAGCCAGGGAAAATTGAAGGAGAAGTTTAATAAATGTGTTTCAACGTGAAGAGAACAAAATACGCAAGGGCACTATGCCAGAAATGTGCCTACCATCATGTTAGGGGGTAGTTTGAGAACCAAGATGTGATAAAAGATGAAACTAGATGAAGTATGGCGCATTGCCAGCGGAATTTAGCCTCTAAAGAAATTTCACGTTATCTTTTAACCTTCAGGGAAATATCGAAGAATTTTAAATGGAAGCATGGAGGAGGGATTAGAAGATGGAGAGACTGGAGACACAAAGGCCAGTTAGGATATTATGCAATAACTGAAGTGTGAATGTTTGGGGTTAAAAGGTGTGAGTTAAGACATTTCCAAAGACATAGAGTGGAGGCTAGTTACTTAAAAAATAACTTAGGGAGTAGAGGCATGAGGATTTGGTAATTGGAGGTGGGAAGTGCGAAGTAGAGTCCCTGTCTAGAGTTTAAAGGAGAGATAACAAAGGAGAGAGTCATTCCTGAGACATTAGGACTCATATGGGTGATAGTTGAAGCCCCACAGGCCAGGAATCCAGCAGAGACCGAGGAGTAATCTCTGAGACGAGAGAGAACTAATTTGAAGAACTAAGTTGGAGATGCCGAGCAAGCCAGCAGGTTGAGATGTAACCTGTGGTAGCTTCATCTGCAGCTATTCTGGCAATCAGCTCTTCTATTTACTTTCTGGCAACACCACAATCAATTCGAAATTGCTGAAGATCTCTGGGGTTAAAACCACTCTGATTACCACTCTAACTCCAACATCTGTTACAATAATCATATCTATCTTGAATCTAGGCCATTAACTATTGCCATTTGGCTTCCGACAGGCTAACTTCAGTGACATCGGTGAGTTTCTTTGCACAGTGCAATCTTTCCCCATTGTCTCCAGATTATGGAGAACAGGGACTATAGAACTTTTCACACTTTTGGTGCTCTTTTCACTAATGAATTTCTTAATGCTGTGGTGAAGGAGGAGTCCTCTGAGCCCCATAAAATGTCACAGTCAGAGCATAGCTCTCTGGTCACATATAATAAACCAATTCTGGCATTCCTTCCTATGTCTTTGGATTCCTTCTTCCAAGGTATACTTTGGATATTGACACCCCAACTTCATTTAGTGCCACTAAATTCATTTTTAAGTCAACCAAGCTTCTCTTCAAGCCACTCCTGGCAGCCCGAGCTAAATTATTTGAACCAGAATCATGGGTTACTGTACATATATCCCTATATTTGGCCTGACCCAATGCTCTATTGTTTCCTTCCCATTCTAACATTCTTAAGATGCATTCAAAAACATATTTCTTGTGTCAATATTTGCAACAATTTGCAATTCTTTTGATGTACATAGCACATCTTCATAGTCAGACATTCTGTAGTTTTTGTGGATTATTGCCTAGCCGTGATCTAGAAGCAATGAGACATTGAGAATGAGACATGGAGAAACATGAGCATCCCCCTAAAGGCAACTGCATCAGGTGAGGTCACTATAGAGTCTACAGGAAAGAGACACTAACCTCCTTAGACTGGGGAGGAGGATGCTTCAATTAGCAAGAGATGCTAAGATCTGGGCATTCAAAGTATTTACACTTATCAGAATTTACACAAATGTCCCCATTCCAATTTCAAGTCCCATTCTTTCTTGATAAGCAGTACATTTTTCACAGGAGACCTGGGGAGGCTATGCATTTCACTTGGGTCATAAATCGGCAATCAACCATATTAAATATTGGGTCTATTTTTCAGAAACACAAACACTGCAGTTACACGAGTTAAGACCTTCTGTAATGGCAGTCAGGGGAGTTGTCTGTTTCTCTGACTCTGTCCTGCTTGTGGAGAAAAAGACTGGCCGCCAGGGTCCTGAGGGCTGAGTGGAGGGAGGAGGCTGGTGATTTCATATTTGACTTTATGGATTTTCACTTAACTCACCTGTTTTCAGCTCAGACTCTCATTGACACCTTAGATCTGCCCAGAATTCCAAATCCACAGCTTTCTCGTTTAGCCTTTCCAAAAAGTAAGCTCTCCACCTTCAGCTGAGGTGGGGAGAGGGGATAGACAAGCTGGGGAAGAGGCTGTAAAGGTCAACATGTCTGTTCAGACTTTCAGCTATTTCCACATGCTTTCAGCCCCATCCTGCCTGCACACTTGCAAGTATTTGCTGCCTCAGATTCCTGAGTCTTCCTGGGGTTCTGAGCCCATCCTGGCTTGGCTCATATTGACCTGCTTTCATTTTTGCAGGCACTTGGGTTAGTGTTATCTCCTGTGCTGAATCAGGCTCCACAAATGCATCCACTTTTTGTAATATTCAAATAAACTTTTAAATTTTAGAATAGTTGTTCATTTACAGAAAAGTGAAAGTATAGAAAGTTTCCATATACCCTGCACCCAGTTTCCCCTATCAGTAACATTTTATGCTGCCACTATATATTTGTCACAACTAATGAACCAATATTGGTCTATTATTTTTAACTAAATGCCATACTTTATTTGGATTTCATTAGTTTTCCCTAATATCTCTTTTCTGCTCCAAGTTCCCATCAAGGATACCACATTATGTTTAGTCATCATGTTTCCTTGGTCTCTAGGCTGTGATGATTTCTCAGACTTTCCTTGTTTTTGATGGCCTTGACAGTTTTGAGGAGTACGTTTGAGATATTTTGTAGAAGATCCCTTGATTTGGGATTGCCTGATGTTTTTCTCACTATTAGACTGGAGTTATAAGTGTTTGGGAGGGAAATAGATGTAGGGCCAGTCTCAACACATCAAATCAAGAGTATATACTGTCAACACGACTTTTTACTAAAAGTGTTAACCTTGATGCTCTAGCAAAGGTGGTATTTCTCCACTCTAAAAGCTCCTCTCCTCTTTCCGTGCTGTACTTTTTGGAAGGAAGTCACATGCATAGGCCACACTTAGTGGTGCAGAGTTAAACTCCACCTTCTTGAAGGGGGAGTATCTACGTAAATTACTCGGAATTTTTCTATATGGGAGATTTGTCTCTTCTTTCCCATTTATTTGTTGGATCCTTTATTGATATCAGTATGGTCTTATGGATATTTATTTTATACTTTGAGGAATAATCCAATACTACGTTATTTGTTTTTCTTGCTCAAATTATTTCAGCTTTGGCCAGTGGAAGCTCTTTCAGTTGGCTCTTGTGTCCTTTTGGGTATCGTGTTGGCTACTGCCAAGATTTCTGAGCACTTTTCTACTTTTTTGCATCTTAGCAAAATACTTTCACAAAATGACTGCTTTCTTGAGTAAGGTGGTATCTGCTAGGATTCTCTGCAAAGCTATGATTTCTCTTTGACATTACTAAATAATTTGGAGATATTTTGAGATTATGCAAGTATCCTGTTTCTGCTTAAACTTTTACCCGCTAATGGTGGATCTTGCCTGCATTTATTAGTGTGTTGTTCTACTGTTGGTTTTTCTAGTTCCTCATCACTTCTGCATTTACCAATTGAAACTATTCGGTAATGAAGAGTTATCTCTTCTCTATTTATTCAGTTATAGATTTATGTCAATATGGATTCATGGATGTTTATTTTTTCTTTGGTTTATAATTCAATACTTTGGCTTTCTGATGAAATTGTTTCAAATTTGGCCATTGGAGCTTTTTCAGGTTTCTTTTATGACCTTTCAAAGTCCTCCATTTTTTTGAGCACTTCCTTAATTTCTGGTGCTTTAAAACGCTCCAGTCTCACCTTGTATTTTCCCTGCTCCAGTCCTGGAGTTGATTAGTTCTTCAAGGATCTCTTATTCCGTTTACTGGAAAATGGTATTAAGAAACCAAGATCTGAGTACTTTGTGTATTCACTGATACTGAGATGTCACTGCTGCTTATTTCTCTGAGAGGCTAAAGTTAGGAAACATACATATGGGCATTAATTCAGTTATATACATCCTCTATATATTTCTGTATCTCTCTATTTGTATATAAATTTTAAAAAATCCATGTTCCAGATCAGTATCTTTAACTTCAATCCAGCACCATAGTGGTCCTTCTAGTCTTCCCTTTTCCTTTATTTATTCCTCTTTTTCCTCCATCAGTGAAAAAACTGGCTTTTATTGTTTATAATATATTTTCTTATTTGTTCAACTTTGGTATACAAATAGTTTTAGACTTGCTAAGCCAAACCACTGTGAGAAACAAATCTAACAACTAGAATGCAGTTCTTCTGGAAAGTCTTTTCATATTTATTCTTGGAATATCCAGTAAAAACGGTTTTTCGAAGTTTCTTAGGACTGTTCTTTCTCTCCCACTGCCTTTAGTGTGGCCATATGATTAATCTGTAATACAGTTAGATTCATTCATCACAGTCTGCATTCTATTTTTCTGTCCACATTAATTATGATTGCTTTTTAAATTTACACATAGTAAAATTCAAACTTTGTGGTGTAGAGTTCTAATGGTTGTTGCATGAATAATCATTTTCTTCTTTTCTATTGCTGCATAATATTCCATTATATGAGGCACCACAGTTAATTCGTTAATTGAAAGACATAGGTGTTGTTTACCATTTTTGGTAATTATAAATAAAGCTACTACAAACATTTGCATACAGGTTTTTACTGTGAACATACATTTTCATCTCTTTATGGTAAATACCCAGGATTGGGATTGATAAATTATATGGTAAGTATATTTTTAACTTTATAAGAAACTGCCAAACTGTCTTCCAAAGTAGCCTTAGCATTTTGAATCACCAGCAGCAGTGTATGAGAGTTTGATTTGTTACAAAAAGAAAGTCACTAAGAGAAAAGATGACTAAGAAATTGGATTCTGAATGTTTCAAAATGAGAGATACTAAGATGGGATTTCCCAGTCTAATCAGCAGGCTGCTGCTGTACAACTTAAATCTAATCTGTGCTGAAAACAATTCCTTGGGTTCTAAGAGAATGGTTCTAAATGGATCTCACTGTTTGGAAAGACACCTTTGGAGAGGAGAAAATAATCACCCTCTATGTCTTAGTTCTCAGTAAAACAATGAGACAATGGGTTGGTCTCTGTAATCTATGAGTTCTGAGTTTATAAGTTGATGCTTAAGTGTGCACTGAAATCTCTCTGTGCCTTCAGGCCCTTCTGATCACTTTCCCAGCTCTTCAATAACCAACAGGGAGCCATTGCTTGTTAACCAAGAGTCATTAAGGAGTATGAAAATGAGAACAAATTGAGAACACAATTTCAGTGACTTTTCCCGCATAAAATCTACACACACACACACACACGGTCCTCAAAGTTACTTTCTTCAAGCCATAGATTTATAGACATATATGAACAGATTACAGATGGCTTGGAGAACATTCATTTGAATATTTATAGGTGCACAATCTGAGACCTGGTTAAAGAAAAGCCTTGTCTAAAGTCAATCTGCTAATTAGTGGTGTGACCAAACTTAGAACTTAAACTCTCCCCTCCTTTCCCTCCTCAGTCAATGACCTGCCATGTAAACCTGCCCTTAGAAAGACCACGTCCAGGATCCATGTGAGTGGTGGTGCTTTTATTCAACAGAAGTCAGTGGTGGTGAGACTCTCGTGATGCTATGGGGATCCTCAGGGGACTGAGCTAGACTCTACAGCAGTGTTTGTTCCGACTTTTGCAGTCTGCAGGAAGGATGGCGCATCCATGGGTTTTTTGGTGCTTGCAGGCACCACCCATATTTTGACATTCGTGTTTTCTCCCCGTTTTTTCATGACCTGTAAAGGAAGGGGAGGTGAAAGAAAAAAATAAAAGCACATTTACTCAAAGCTACCAGAATTCATCTTTCATAGCAAGGATCTGCAAACTATAGTCTACATGGACACATCCATCCCTCTATGTGTTTTGGTGAGAACTGCAAGCTTAGAATGGTTTTTACATTTCTTTTAATTACAGGAAAAAATTCAGAAGAAGAAAAATCTTTGATGATATATGAAACTTGTATGAAATTCAAATTCTGGTGTCCATAAATACTTTTATAGGAAGACAATCATGATCATTCATGTACATATTGTCTATGGCTGCTTTCATGCTAAAATGGTAGAGATGAATTGTCGTGACAGAGAAGTTATGGCCCACAAAGCCTAAAATATTTATTACCTGGTCTGTTACAGAAAAAGCTTATTGAAGTCTGCAGTAGAGTGACTTTCGTTTTCAGATGAAGAAGCTTTATACGAGAGAGAGCAAGTGACTCGTCTGTGCCGTGAGATTAGGGATGTACTTCACTTCACATGCTCTTCATGAAAGATTCCTAAAGTGCCTTCTTCTTTTTCAAAAGGGCAAAATCTTACAAATATGTAACACAAATTAGACAATAAGTATTGGACTAAGCATTCTCACTCCTGAATACTGTGCCTTGCACATCCCATGCAATGAGAGTTGTTTCATAAATTGTGATACTTTAAATGCCACAGGCAAGGCACCTAGTGAGCACCAATCTTCTTGTGCTCCTGTGAGTTAAGTTGGAAAAACAGTGGTAAGAGATTAAGAAAGTGACTATAGCAATTCAGAAAGCAACACGACAGTAGAGAGAACTTAATGTCTAAAGTCAAGAGAGCAAGAGAGAGAAGGACAAACAACCATGAGGAAACAATGACTAAGAAGAGTCTCCATCAGAGGTGTTGGCTGGTAAAGGCCCTATGTTCTGATGGAAAACACACTCAACCAGGAAATGGGTGACCTGGCTTCTAATTTCTGCTCCACCACAACTCTAGTTTTTCTCTTGGAGCTGCAGATTCTTATAAATTTTCATAATAAAGGAAAGGTAAAAATAATTATAAATGTAATTCATATATATTTATGTTCATATTATAAATATGAATTAATATATATGAATGTTATACTCATATATTTAAAATTTATATAAATATTATATAATATGAACGCATATTCATGTATGTCCATATCTATGTCTATATCTATATCCATATCCATATTCGTATCTGCATCCACATCTACATCTCTATCTATCTATCTCCATTAGGCTGTCCACCAAATAGGTCTGGCTCTCTGTTTTCTTGAAACAAAATAGGATTTACCTTTTGTGTTATGGGGTGGGGCCATAAGACTTGCTTGGTTATGGAATTTTGAGCAGAAATTATGGTCCCCTCAGGGCTGGAGCCTTTAACTGCCAACATGAGACTCCTCAGAGCTCTTTCCCCTGACAGAGCGACCAGAAACATTCACGGTGGTTGCTGCTCCATCTGCAGGGTCTCAGCAGCTATGATGAACAGAACTCCCTTCTGGCCACGATGGGTTTGTGTCATTTGAGCAAGAATTAAACCTTTGCTCTTTTAAGATGCCAAGATTCGGATGTGGTTGTCACCACACCACAATTTGGCACGTGCTGACATGTGCATAGGGTTGCCACGTAAAATGCGGGACACTCAGTTAAATTTGTATTTTGGATACACAACACATAATCTTTTGGTATAAGTATGTTCCAAGTATTGCATGGATCATGTTCATATAAAAATATTCATTGTTTGTATATAATTCAAAGACTAAATTTATTTTCTGGGATTATTAACTGTTTAATAAAAGCATGGCCTTTGAACCAAACTCACTTTGGCTTGAGTCAAAGGCTTCACTACATACAGTCTGCGTGACTTTGAGCAAGTTACTTCATTTCTTAGCCTCATCTGTAAGGCTGAATATCATTATGAGGAATACCGGTGGGAAAGCACGTTTAAAGCTTTTGTTTTGGTGTTTGGTAAAGAGGAAGTAGTTGATATTATTTGCTATTATTATTAGTGTTGTTACTGTTGTTCACAGGAAAATGATTTGAAAACTGAAAGCCCTCTAGTACCTATCTCTAGGTACTAGAGGTATCTAGGTATCTAGTACCTACCCTCTAGTACCTATCATGGGTACTAGTTATGGATTTACTACCAAATAATTAATGTCAATCGTAGAGAAATCTTAATTTCTTTAAGCTTCTCTTTTCCTATTTGACAAGTTGAGTGTGTTGACATGCTATGCTTCTTTCAGCCATGATATGATTCAGTTGTGACATATTTCAGCGCATCATTGGAGTATGAATCCATTTGACCCTACTGCAGGCTCCAAGGTCATCCACCATGTCATCCTACTAGGTGGATCCACAGCTTACCTGATGCCGTCTGGATGAGACACACAAGGAGTAAAAAGAGAAGGAACAGTAGCCTCATGCTGGGAAATGAATTCTCAGGATTATAGGAAGAACTGACACTGTCTGATGGTGGTTTTTTTCTTCAGTGCACATCAATGACAGCAGGTGATCTGGGAAAAATTTGAAAAGTTCAGCTAGAGAGAAAAAGCTTCTATTTCTAATAAAGGTGTTCAATTAGGGCCTGGGTGTCATTTGAGAGTATTTCATTTATGACACATGGTTACAGATCCAAGTTTCCCCCAGTCAAAAAGGAAGAGTTTATAATAAGTCAGCATTTTCTGGTTGATTCTCACTTCTGCTTATGCCTCTGAGGTTTGGTGCATTTTTTTTGAGAAAAAAGTCATTAAACAACTGAATTTTTTAGGCAAATCACCCATTTATTCATTCACCTCTATTGCATGTCACTGCATCAGTCAGTTTCCCTGTTAGGAATGCAAAGAAGTGCCCCCTTTTTAGAAGTTAAAAAAAAGAGAAGGAATTTTGTAAATAGAAATGATCTTGTTTCCTTTTTTTCTCTCAATAGCTTTTTTTGTTACTAGCTAAAAGAGAGAGAGCTGATCCATTCTAAGCAAACTTTTTTTTTTTTTGTTAAAGATTTTATTTTTTCCTTTTTCTCCCCAAAGCCCCCCAGTACATAGTTGTATATTCTTCGTTGTGGGTCCTTCTAGTTGTAGCATGTGGGATGCTGCCTCAGCGTGGTTTGATGAGCAGTGCCATGTCCGTGCCCAGGATTCGAACCAACGAAACACTGGGCCGCCTGCAGCGGAGCGCACGGACTTAACCACTCGGCCACAGGGCCAGCCCTCTAAGCAAACTTTTGAATCGAACACAACCCAGTGAGGCTTTGGGGTCCAGAGAATTTCTTAATACAGGATTTGTATCAAAGTATTCTCATGGTAAAGCAGTGAAATAGCACAGAAGTGTGTAAGATAAAACCTTGACCTTCCTCTCCATCTCTTCCTGCTCTCCTGAGTTTTGCTTTATATCATTTACAGTATGTCTCTCTCTTTCACTATTCTGTGAATTTATAACAAATCAGGTCCTGTTTTATTATCTCACATTCTCAGGTCCCTGAACAGTGCCTGGCATAGAGAAGAAACTCAAATATTTGTTTAAAAGAATAAGTCCTTTACAGACGAACAAATACATGGATGAACAAATGAATAGATGGAGGAAATAAATAAGGGAGAGGAGGAAGGGAGGAATCGATGGAGGAAAGAAGAGAAGAGGACACAGGGAGGCAGACTTCCCTACTAAGCTAATAATGGTCACTCTACATTAATAATCAATACTAAAGTTGGGGAGTCAAAGGAGAGATTGCTCCTTAGATGCAGACATCAAAGAAGTCATCCAAGCCCTGAAGTGAGCTGTGGACTTTAGGGGGAAAGAGAAAAAAGGAATTTCATCTAATAATTATGGATCTTTGGATTCAGATGGACCTTAGTTCAAAGTCTCTGCTCTGCCACTCACTACCTAAGTGATCTTGAAATAACCTTTTAAAGCTCTGGTTTCTCCTTCCGTACATTTGATGTCAGATAGAGTACGATTCTCCTATGCCACGTCAGGAAAAGGGACTTAAGAGGAGTCAGTGGCTGACCAACACCTCTCTGTGCAGAGAGTTGCATTTTGTTTTTTTTTTTAAAGATTGGCTAACACCAGTTGCCAATAATTTTTTTTCTTCTTCTTCTCCCCAAAGCCCCCCAGTGCATAGTTGTATATTCTAGTGGTAGGTCCTTCTGGTTGTGCTGTGTGGGACACCACCTCAGCATGGCCTGATGAGTGGTGCTAGGTCTGCACCCAGGAGCCCAACCGGCGAAAGCCTGGGCCGCCAAAGCAGAGAGCACAAACATAATCACTCGGCCATGGGCCCAGCCCGAGAGTTGGGTTTTAACCAGGATCACTGCTAAGTGTTTCTATCTAAACTATGAGACGGACTTTCTAGGCAATTTCTGGGTCCCAGAAATCACACAGGAGGTAGATTCTTCCATCAAGTCCTGGAATGGCTCAGAAAACACTGAAATTTAAAACTTGAATGAGGGAAAATTTTGCTTTTTTGAGCCCCTGGAACTAGAGGGTGGTAGGAAAACTTACTTTTGACATGAAAGAAAGATGGTCTTATAAAAGAACCTAGTATTGTAGGTATGCACACACAATTCTTCATTACATTTCACTTATTAAATGCAACCATAGCTTAATACATTTAGATAATTTAATTAAATAATATTGATCCTCCTTTAACTTTCACTGCAGTGACAGGGACTGCTACAAAATTTTTCTTGACTACCTATTCTGTCCCAGGAATCTTAAAAACGATATCTTCGTCCCCACACTGCCTTGTGAGGTAGATATTTTCATTCTTTAAGCAAGTAAATGTGCGTTGTGCAACTGGTAATAGAGCCTGGATTTGGACTCTGTCTATCCATTGTCAAAACTTTTACTTATTTTACAGTTTTTCCTGCTGAGAAAAGAAAGATAGTTTTTTCTGGATGAAGGAATATAGCTATAGTGAGATAAAAGTGTGTGTGTGTGTGTGTGTGTGTGTGTGTGTTTGAGAGAAAGAGTGGAGAGCTGTGTATTAAAAGTATTCTAAATACACTTTCCTATCAAAAAGGGAAAGTATGTGGCACAAATTATGTGAGTAAAGGCTGGTGCTCCCTCAGCAAGTCGACCAAATCGTTTATCATCTAACTGGGACACATTTAGAATGTAAGGGACTTAGTTATGTTGAACGACAGGCATAAATTTGGACTGTCTCAGACCCTGTCCCTAGGAAAACCTCCTCCTTAACAAGTACAAGTGTCTTTTCTGGAGGTTATGCAAAGTCTGGGAGTTGATGATTCTCTCTCCAATGCTCTCTCCACTGCCACTCTGGAAATGGCCAGCAACACATCAATGGAACACAAGGGTCGCATAGGACACGGTGATTATTCTGATGGCACTGACTTATCTTTCCAACTCATCCTTTGCCCATTTTCCCCTCTCACTGCAGAGATTATGGAAGGATTGGATTGGAAATGATAGCACTACCTTCTTACATTTGGAAGTCATGTCAACTTCATTAGTAGGAACTTCTGATTTTTTGCTAAGGGGAAACACACTCTTTCTTCTAACCGTGGACTATTCACAAGCCTCTACTAATATAGATAACATTCTCACAGGTTTATGAATCTTGGAGGAAACCTGAGAAGGCTTTCCTACATCCCACTCTTTTTGGTACAAACTGATCCACCATCTCTTAGAAACCCTCACCACACTGAGATAACATCAAATCTTTCTTGGAACAAACTTGTGGTGTCAACAAATGACTTCTTTCATATTTTGGCCCAGGCATGATCTTCTGGGTTTGAGGGTCTGGTGAGACCCCATTAACTTGAGTTATCCTAGACTGTTCTGTGTGAGTGCCTACACACACTTTCCCCTCCACACGCTCAGTCTGTTATTGGCCTCACCTTCCCCCACCCACCTCTCTTCCACCTTAAAGGAACTAAATACGTTTCTGACATTTTCTTTCTCCAGAAATAACTTAGGAATAAAATGGATCTATGTTCGAATCTTAGGATCAGCATTTGAATCTTTCACTGAGTAAACATCTATATTAGTTTAGTGATATTAATGTGAAAATAAAGTAAGCACTTGTAGTAATCTGTTTAAATAAATCACACTTAATTCTACACAGTAGCTGCGAGGGCTTTACTTCCCTGTCCCAGTAACAATGCGTTTGATGATAATAATAATAATAAATAATAATAATATTAGAAAAGAAAGTATAGACTGAAAGCTTTGGTTCATATTCTCATCTCCTATACTTATACACTGAAAACAATTCTCTTTACAGACTCCCTAAATATTGTGCATATACTCCCACCCGTTCTTCAATCATAAGTGATCTCTTCTGAAAACCTACCTTGCAGCTCGTTCCTCCACCTTCTCAGGCTGTCTGCTGCCTGTCCCGTCCGGCAGGGTTGCCTGAAAGCAACTGTCCATTGCCTCATAATTAGCAGTTAGATCTACAATGGGCAGAGGGAGGGCTGAGTCGGGTGATATAAGACGCATTATGATCTCATATGGAGAGGGGTCATTTGGGGGAAGATGGGAGACGAGCCAGATTTGAATGATATCAGCCTCCAAGAGAAAGACAAGAGGAAGTGGCGACCGTGTAGACATTCCTTTCAAAGGGTTTTTCTGAAAAATTAAGGAAAGACAAGAAGCAATAGCTGATCAATGATATAGTGTCAGATAAGAGGTGTATGCTTGTTTTTATTTTTATAGATTCAGTGGTCAGGGGTGAGATGTAGAGCAGGGGAGAGTTTCACCATGAGGAAGCTAGAGAAAGGAGACCCAGGACCCATTGGAAGCATTGCCTTGGGCTGGAGCATGAGCCCATTAGCTCATGATTCACTTAGAAAAGCCACCTATTCTTGTGACTAAAGTGAGAAATGTATTCCTCCCATGTGAGCGTTGTAATAAGACACTTAGGAATGTTGACAATAAAACTCAAACAGATTTTATAGAGTAAAAGTTAAAACTTCAGAAAAAAATTAAAATCCTTGTAAAGAAGACAAGAGGCTAGCTAGTAAACTGTAAAACCAAATTACATTTAAAATAAGATCAAGCCTGAGTGATAACAAAATAATCTTAAAGTAAAGAATAAAATGGGTGGAAGATATATGAGGTATTGGGTTAAGATAATGAATGAGATGAGATGAAAAAGAGGAAAAGTTTATAATTTAAAGTGAACAGAAATTCAGAACTGGGAGCAAAAATAAAACATTTAAATTAGAAGGAGTAGAATAAGGTTTTGGAAGTTAAGGAAAAGCTTGAATTTTGGCAATCAGATCAAATAAATGTTAAAGTTTTGGTTTAAATCCTGGGCTACACAAAACTATTGAATGCTTTTAAGAAGATTAACATATTAAAATATGCTCTCTAAGATCCCTGAGAAATGATCACAAAATTTTTCATGTGGATAAGGAAGAGACTGGTAAAGTTTATTGTGACCCCATCAGGCAATGAGCCTTGGGCAAGAGTAATAAAATTCCAATCGTGAGATTGCCCTCCCTTTCCAATGTGTTGGGAGGTATATTTGTGGGCAGGCATCTTCATGGAACCTCTGAAACCACAGAACATGGATGGCATGCCCTGCGCCTCAGCCTAAGGGCAGACCTCTGCTGAAAAAAACCCCAAAGTGCAATCTTGAAATGAGAGCCTTTCACATGACATTGAGCCCAGGGACCCTCTGAGGGAGGGGAAGTTCACACATGCACCATGGGCTTTTGTCAATAAATACAAAAAAGTGTGCAATCTTAGACAATGTTGGTAGTTTTTCATTATTTTGTATGTGGCTCATTAAACAAATCAAGATTTTGGATCTTTGGTTCTGTACCCTTTTTGCTCACGGAATACAATTTTAAGTAGTAAAATAAGACAGCAGAGTTTAAGAAACAAACACCTTAACAACAACAATAAAAACCAAAGGAAGGACGTAAGGAAATATCATAGTGATATAGCTTTGAGAATCAAAACCATTTATTTTAGCAAATTCTTCTCCAAGTAGGAAGTAAGATGCTGCTTAAGTATAAATATTTAAGCTTACAATGCAGGCTTTTCTCTAAAACAGCATTAGTTCCCATTTTGTTTATGTCATATAACTGACTCTCTATCTTGACTCATTGGGGGAATACTGCAATGAGACCAGTGGGACCAATGCTGTCCATAGGACGCTCTGCAATGATGGAAACGTTCTAATCTGTGATGTCCCATATGGTAGCCCTTGGCCACAGGTGGCTAGCCAGCCTTTGAAATGTGACTGATGTGGCTGAAGACCTGAATTTTATATTCTATTTATTTTTCAGCATTTTTTTTCCCTTTTGACCCAATACAGAGCCACTATTATTCCCTATTACAGGTGAGGAAATAAATTTTAGAGTCAAATTGTCTTCTACATCCACTGAATATTCAAGCTTCTTCTAATACAAATCTCTCTGATGATAAACAATAATTTGCCTGTTTTCTGTGCTGTATTTTCTCTCAGCTGTCCAATCGAGGACAATTGCTGCCTCGGCACCAGGAAAGCAAACTTTGATTACATGCATCCTCCTAGACAAAGAATTTCTAGCCTAATTGTGTTGGAATATATTACAGCATGTTATATTATACTTTATTATGTTAAATTTTATTATACTACATTGTATATGTAATACATATGTTAAAGATCTGTGTAAAAATATACAGCCAAATATATAAAAATTGCATAAATGTGGATCTTGTGACTATTAAATTCTCTAAACCAAGAGAGACCAAGGGCCATTCTCTTATCTCTTTCCTCTTGACCTCTGTTGCCCTCTTCCTGAGTTGCATGGGACGTTTTGATTTACTTGTGTCTTCATTATGTTGTTTCCTCTCAACGCTTATTTGAGTTATACTTCCTCTATTTTCAGAAAAAAAAAAAAAACTCCCAAAACTAAACCATTATACTATAATGTGTCCAATTCAGTTTTGTGTAATTCTATGGAAATTCCTTGAAAAGGCCTTGTCTACAAAGACTTTGTAGCTAAATGAAAAAGAAAAACACAGGAACACAATCAAGGTTGAGTAAAAGACTTCCATTAAATAGAACAGAAGCATGTGCTGCACGGAGGGCTGAGAGGTTTATTCACCAGTGGGTTGGGAATGGTTTCTTGAAGGGCATGGAATCTGAACTGGGTCTTGAAGGATGGGTAAAATGTGCAATGATTAGTTGACTTTAGGAGGTGACATGTGAAGCAGCCAAAATAGCAAGAGCAATACAGAGATGATAGGAAAAGGAAGCATATATGGGAAAACAGGGGTCCAATTTATCTGGAGCTTAAATGGTAACCCTGCAAAGTAAGTTCCAGTGTGCTGTGGAGCTGCTGAATGCTAGTGTCAAGAGTACGTATTCAGAGGTAAATGAGAAATAATTCGAGATCTCTTTGACAGCCCTGAGTGAAACAACAAATAATAACCAGAATTACAAGAGGTCAGGTTGTCTGATTTGGAACAAAGTGATTTCATTGGTGTGTATTTTATGAGTCACTCTTAGGCGAACAATTTCTCTCTCCAAGGTGGTATTGGTAGCTGGCTTTCTTTATTCTTATTTCCCTCCTTTGCAGCATTTTGTGTGGGTAGGAGGCACATGCCAATCTCTTCTCAGCTTTGAGGGCATTTGAAAGGAGAACAAAAGCCCCCACTCCCAATACAAGATAAAGGGAATAAGACTCTTCTGGAGAAGGCTGGAAAGAAAGGAGAGCACAAGGAGAAATTCCAGCACCATTTCAGGAAGATTCGAAACATGAGTCATTATCCTTTTTTGTAAATCCTTGGAGGAAGAGCTCCTTTGCCAAGGATGGGGCTACACGATCCCCAGTATTTTGACATGGGATAATGATTTCTTGTGTATAATTTTCCGACAAAGGGACTGGATACTTGTTTTTGAAGAACCAACTGGCTAAATGTTCTGATTTGTGGCTGAGTAACCTGGGCCAGTAGGCAGGTTCAGGTAGAAGCTTGTCGAGTGTTTCCTGCAAATCTGTCCCCAGCACAAGAAAGCCAACTAGAGGCTGTTGAAAGTCAGCAGTTACTAAACACAGGTCAGCAGTTCTCAATTCAGAAGAGACAAACAGGAGTCCATTTGTTTGTTTTCCTTTTCCCCTAATGATCTGGTTAATTGAGTTTGCATTTAGATGGGAAGAAACAGTTATTGTTTTATAAACATTTAATCATCTGAGTGCTAGCATGTGAACTTAAATTCAGTTAAAGGAACAAGACATTTACAACCATGTTTCTTATTTATGCAGTTTTTTCTAGTTCCTTCTCTTCCTCCCTCCCTCCTCTTCCTTCCTTCCTTTTTATCTCTTTTTCAGTTCTCTCTCCTTTTTTTCTTTTTTTTAACTTCAATTTCTGTAAATGCCAGGACAAAATAAAGAAGACAACCAAATAAACAAAGCTTAAGGTCACCTGCCAACCCAAGAGAGAACAACATCCTCTATAATTTCCAATGTGAAGGTACTACATGAAACACATATAGCAAAGGTTTCCAAAATGTAGGATGGAAGCTCTAGTCATCTTATGAGTTTCTCTTAGTGGCCATACACTACACTGTTTAATTACAAAAGGATATACTTACAAAAGAATATCCTGAATTTATATTCTTAGTATAAAATTAATTCTCCAATTTCTGTTTAGAAAGGCACTTAACTTATGCTTCAAGAATAGGTATTGCAGTTTCTTGCCATTAAAAAGCAGTAGGATTTTTAACAGTCCACTTTGTTAAATTGGGTTAAGAAAATACAAAACTGAAATGCCCTTTAATATCTTATGCACCTTCAATGTTAAAGAGAAGGTGCTTAGTTTTAATGAGCAGTTCAAATAATCTATTTAGTGTAGATAAAGAATGTGTAAGAAGCTTCAGTTAATCCTCAAATTATTTCAAGCCTCTTATTTCTCAGATCCATTTTACCTGGAGCAAGAATGAGAATAAAAGAGACAATCTGTAGAAAAGATAATAAATCCTCATAGCTGACAGCTGACAAACTCAGTGAGTACCTAAGAAAGAAGAGGATGGTGATTTTTTTTCAGTTTTTGTGAAGATTAAGGCAATATTGTTACTTGTAGACATGATGTTTTCAATTCTAGTACAATTATACAATTATGAAAATAGAGCATCTTCCCTCCAGGTTCTAATGACTTGCTCTTATAACATTTAACACTGAAATGTAGGAATAAACGTTCAGTAGTATAAGCTAATTCTTTGTCAATTCTATGAGTAAACGCTTTTTGGGTAGGGATCTGCCTGGAGATGTGAAATCACAGAACACAGACAATAAGCCCTCCACCTCCACCCAAGGCTTGACCTGTTCAAAATACATCCAAACCACAAATTTAAAATAAATGAGTCCCTCTTGTAATACCGATTTTGGGGTCCCCACTAAGGTAAGGAAAGTTGACATATGACCATGGGCATTTCTATGAAAAAAAGGTATGTAAAGTTGAGTAAAATGTT